TACTAGCGATGCCCTCTAACCTGAGAGCGATGGCCTCCAACCTACTAACGATGGCCTCCAACCTACTAGCCATGGCCTTGAACCTAATAGCGATGGCCTCCAACCTAATAGCAATGGCCTCCAACCTAATAGCAATGGCCTCCAACCTAATAGTGGGGCCTCCAACCTACTTGCGATGGCATCCCACCTAACAGCGATGGCCTCCAACCTAGTAGCGTCCTTGCTCCTAGTAGTAATGGCCTCCACCCTAGTAGCTTCTTGCTACTAGTATTGCCTTTGGCACGGACGAACGGTGGGACTGGCGGGGAAGTGACGATGGGACTGGCTCGAGCCCACCGCAGCGCATTGCTGCGTTCCATGTCGGACCTTGAATGAAATGGCCGATTTGGAGCAATTTGTAAATCTCCGTGCAGGTTTCAATGGGTATACCAATTGTGGGGAATGCATATCTTGATTTGGCGAGCTCATCCTCCTCCATAGGCAGACATGAAGAGAAAATCATTCAAACTATGAGAAATCCCACCATCTCACTGACGACGTGCCGGACACCAAACGGCGTGCTCGTCCTGTGGGCACACCAAACAGTTGATGCCGTGGCCATGGGAACTGCCCATTAGAGCTGATTTTCTCTCAAATCCTGCATGAGCTCCTACTCACTAGCTTGGTCTCGGGATGGACATAGGAAAACATGGAAGAGAATGTGCATAGTCTTTCAGACCACTGGTGTCTGTTCGAAGAATGTGCATGGTCAGAAGAAGAGAACTGAAACTGCGGCAGGAACGTGCACCTTTTGGGCAAAGGACCATCATAGCTTGATGTTCAAGATGATAATAGAAAAGGAAAGACAGTTTGACTCGTTCATGCGAGGGTCTGCGATCCTAACCCGACGATGACCCTTTCAACTCGTCCATCCCGGATCCACTTCTACGTGGACCTGCAAAGGACAGGTAGGAATCCCTAGTGTTCCCTCCCCCAAAATACTAGCATCCTCCAACAACGACGCTTTGTTTGGAATGCGAGGATGTCAGCTTTTCCATGGCTCAGTGGGTCTTTGGGTGAAAATCTCCATGTTCGACCCACCCGAAGATCTGAGAAGAGACCAGAGACCTCAACGGTTTCGGCTTTTCGCTTGGCGTCCCTGGACCAAAAACAAACACCAGTTTAACCCACACAAGGCCTAGTGGGTCACCAAGAGACCGCTGCATGGATGATTGGATTTGAAGACTAAAGAGAACTGACGAAGGTAGTAACAAGGGCATCGCTACTAGGAGCAAGACGCTACTAGTAGCTCTTGGCATTACTAGTAGCAAGAAGCTACTAGTAACAAGGGCATCGCTATTTAGTAACAAAAGATTTCTGCTCAAGAAAATGGACATGATTGGATTTGAGCATGTTCTTCCAATCGGTTCATCTAATTACAGCACACACCTGACAAAAGAAAACTACGCCTAAATCAACCGCAAGCTGTCGTGCTTTTCTTGGAGGGTTTCATGTTGATTGAACTTGGCAGCAAGGAAACTAGTTGCTGCTTCTGCACTTCAAAAGTTGGACACCCTCCAAGGAAACCATCCACTTGCTGCTCTACCCTTCTTCTCCCCACTTCACAACTCCCGACGTGAAAACAACGTCGACCGGCGTCGGTCGGAACCCACGCGCTGAGCTGTCAGACCACCACGGCGGGGATCGGGGGACCCGTTCCAACTGGCGTCGGGCTAGCCGGGAGCCGGAACCCAACCGGAAGCCACCAAGCGGAAACCAAAGACTCCATCTCTCTCTCTCGACACTTCTTAATTTATATAAATATGGTATAATAGTATTAACTTGTATGCCTGTAGATCTTCCAACAAATGTCTGCCAAACTTGGTTGGTCTTTATACAGTGAAAAAGGCAACCGCAAGAATCGGTGGGATCCGGTTTGGAAAGAGACCCAATTGGGTTGAGTTTCTCCAGGACTCGTGAAATGCATCTACCATGCTGAGGATTTATATAGATGAATAAGTCCAGACCAAGCTGAAGCATATCAGCATATCTATATACACTACTGCATGGTCATGAGTCATGAACATCAATTATTAACAATTGACCATGTCTTTGAGTCTTTGAACAATTCTTTTGAACGTCGAACGTCTATGGTGCAGGTCTATGTGAATGCGTTGTGTAGCTCCCCTTACACCTGCCCAAGGAGAATTCCGCCACCCGAAACGCATTCCCAATGATTGCTCCCCCAACATCACGCTCTGACCTTCTGACCGTCTGCCTGCTGCTCACAATGGCTAGGAGCCATATTGAGAACAAGCACCAAGTGCTACATATACCCAAACCAAATCTTAAGCAACAAAATAAGCCAATGTGAAATAGCTTGAGAAACACTTTATACCTAAGAAGTCCAGACCCGGCGAGACCATTCCCTCCGAATTCCCTTCAGCTTCTCTTCCATTCTTTTCAAACAGTGCAAGCTGAGACCCCATAGAATTAGTATATGCACCAGTCACACTTCCACCACAGTTGCACTCGTCACTTCCAACAGCCCTAGTCGCGCGCGCGCGCGGGCACCGTAGGACTCCGAGAACTTCCAGTGGAAGCTGCTGGGAAGGGGCGTCCAAGCCTCGGGACGCTGCGATGTTGAGGACGGGTCCTGGAAGAGATCAGTGAGGATATCTGGATGGATCTGGATGATAACCACTTCTTTGATCTTCTTTGAACATCTTGAAGCTGCGGAATCCTGATTTATCTTTAAAAAAAAAAAACACGAAAAAGACTCTTGCTCCAGAATCTGTCCAATCTCAATCGTGCCTTTCTATGCCTATCAATTTGACGGTCACGCTAGAGAAGCCTTTGCCAGATGTTGGGAAGGTGAAGGCAAACCTTTGAGGCAAGAAAAGGCTCTGTGATTGTCTGTTGCGGGGAGATCCAACAAGATCCTTTTGCCAACCTGAGAGCTAACTGTTGAGATCATACATGGGCTGAAAACTTCACCAAGCTGAACCTCGAAGGAAATGACGTTCCATGGATGTGGTTGTTCAGAGATATCCGGCATCACCACCATGCCTTCCCACTTGAGAACACCGTCAAGAACATGTAAAAACGACAAATGAACCACGCACCTGGTCTTGAAAGAACCCCTCAGACACACACATCTGTGGACTCCGACGGTCTGGTGCTGTCCCACGGAGACGCGCACTTGCAATTCGTACGAAGGAGGAGACACCTGGCGAAGGAGGAGGGACCAGCCCCCCAACACATCCAGCTGTTCTCCCGGCCCCAAGCCAGCCCAAGACACCACAAGCCGAGCAGCTAAAACAAATTGAAGAATTGTCAGACATTGGCTGCCTTTTGGATCCTTTTGGCGAACGTGGTGAAAATGAAAGAACACCAGCGTTGACACATGTGGCGGAGCTAAAAATGTGTAAAAGAACTAACCCCCAGGAACGCGACTGGCACGGAGGGCGTGGAAAGAAAAGACCTCATACTACATCCCCACAGACATCTGCAGACTAAGAACCGATTCTTACCGGTGACCGGAGTGGTTTAAAATCCTTCCGATCTGTGCCGATGTGAAGGATCCAGACACGCTTCCGGGCGAACAAGAAGGGTGTCGGAAGCATCACGAGAAACATCAATGTTCGACTCAAAGCATCGAACCCATTCTCCAGAATCCCTTGCATTGGCCTCCAGCTCAGAAGCTATGTATGGATAAGGACCTGGGCCAATGTTTTCGCGCAAGTCCTTTTGGTAGGTGCTCACAAAATGAAGGTCTTAATAGGTTTACCTGCATTTTTGCAATCCTTGTTTTTCCAAGAATACCATTGCTGTCCCTCCATCCACATAGAGCTTCATCCGACTAAAAGAGCCTTCACCCGGCCTTTCATGCGATTGATCTAATATGATCTAATTATTCGCTCACCAGCCAAGGGAAGCTACTTCTCAAGGTCTCTGGCTTGAATATCTTCGAAACCCTGGAGGAAGCATGTTGTTTCAAACGCACAGCTTGGAACGGAGAATTGAACCTGGGCAAGAATACTTTTCCAAACTTCACATTGGGATTTCCCTGCGCTCATCTGAGATCCATGTGGCACTTCATCCAGCCATTCCGAACGGAGCAACACCCAGCTTCAGCGCCCAAGCGCTTCGCCCCAACCAGCCGGCTGCCCCGCGGCTGTCGCGAATGTGAGCACTGCGGTTGGAGTAGAGCAACGCCCAAGCGGACCTCGGAACGGAGCTGCACAGCTTGCAGAATGACCAGTGGATGTGGGTCAAACCTTAAAACCACCAGGATACCAACCCCTTGACCTACCTACCGGTGTCGGGCGCGACCGCCTCACGAGGGAACTGGTGGGACCAACATGTGTCACGACCCATCCAACGGAACGGCAGAACACCAACGAGGGCTCGTTCAGACGGCTGTTCTCCGTGCTTGACTGTAACCTCCGACTCGAAAGGGTCCAAACGTGGCTCCCACGCGAGAAAACGAGACCCTCTATGAACCCGCCAGCTGCGAGAGTTCTAGAGTTCTCCGGTAGGTTGACCTCCAGATACAAAGTGGTCGACCATTCTGTTCATGTTCGGTGGGAAAAAACGGGTCCACGGTGGACCCACACGGAATATCTCCAAGCATGTTCAGCTGATCGGTCCATCTTCCCCCCATGCCCCAGGCGGGATTCTCTTCGGGAGCACCGGAGAAGCTCCTCCGTTCTCCGTCCGGAGAAGCTCGAGAGCACCGGACTCTCGCTGAGTGACCCGGACAGCCTGGGAATCCGAAAGTCGCACTGCACCAGACCGTCATACTGCACCACGCCCGAAAGCGAGGAGACCACCTGGCCGGTGGCTTGCTTACGAGCGATTTTCGGCAGCACCCCCTGGATCGTCTGCGGATCTTGAAAAAGCCAAAGTGATGAATACCGGGATCATCCAGTCTGGGTGTCCAATGGAGGTCCAGTCTAGCAGAAGTGGCTGGGTAGTCTATGGGAGACCCAGACAGGATGACCCAGGTATGATTGAATGGTTTTTAGAGGAGGTATCTGCAACGGTCCTTGAATGTCATTGGAGGCATTTCGCAAATCATGCACCTCTCCACAATGGTGTTGTCATTCATTGAGGTGAATCAACTTGGGAGCCAGCATCAAGCAACAAACACTGAGATGATATGTTGTCCTCCCCAAGCATGTGTCTCTTACAGATTGTAGATCCAGAATGGACTACGGCAGTCGATAGCCACTATGCAGCCACCAGGAGAACTGAGGCCCTGAAGCATTGATCAGTTCCGTCCGTGGTCTGTGGCCAATCGGCCAGAGATTGTATTAGCGGAGATCCAAATCCAACAAAATGGCACAAAGATATACAATTAAGATCTGTTCTTCTAACTATCATTAGGAGGGTCCCACAATGTTCCACATCCCCTTGAATCTATCCGTCCCCATCTCTTTCAGATTCTGTTGCAGTGATCCATGAGATTCCAAGGTCGATTCCTTGGCTTAGTCACCTGTCCCGGCTCGCGTCACTGGGAGTTCCCAGCTGGCACGAGGCCCCGATCCATCTCGGTCAATGCAAGGTCGACCTAAAGCGGGCTCTGGATTTCTCCGGTGAAGGCTTCGCGGTGATGTTTGTTTGACCTTTCTTCTTTTAAACCGTTCTTTTCTTTTTGTTTAAGACCTTTCTTCTCTATAGTCTATAGTCATTGCTTTCTTTCTTATTGGGCCGTTCTTTATTAGACATGTCTGTCTTTTGTATTTAGACCTTTCTTCTTTAGACGGGTCTTTCTTTTTTGGACCTTTCTTCTTTAGACCTTCCGTTTTTTTGACCGTTCTTCTTTAGACCTTTCTTTCTTGTTTAAAACCATTATTCTTTCTTGGTGTTTACCTTTCTTCTTTAGACATGTCTTTTTTGAACCTTTCTGCTTTATTTGTGTCTTTGTTTGTTTCTTTATTTATTTATATGTGTATGTTTTTTATTTCGTTATTTCTTTCTTTTTAGACCATTCTTCTTCAGATTTTTCGTTCTTAGTCCTTTCTTCTTGAGACCTTTCTTCCTTCTTTTTTTGCCTTTCTTCGACCTCTCTTTCTTTAGACCCGTAGAAAATCGAACTGGTCAAAAACACCCAGGCTTCCCCTATTGGTGGGCTCAGGAGTGGCATGGCTGCCGCTCAACCTGAAGCAACAGAATGAAGTTCCTGGAAGCAACTGGGATGCCTGTCCTTCAAGAATAAAAGCTATGGGCTTGTGTATATACCCAGACCCAGACGCTCATAGACTGCTCCTAAGTAGGGGCCGTACCCTCATATGGAAGGGGTGGTAGTCAATACATGCACCTGACCATGCTGGGCATCAAGCGCTCTCCTCAGGCATGTCATCCGTTGCATTCAAATCACCTGGCGTGACGACGAACCGCGGTTTGACAAACCTCCGATTGGTTGAATTCGCCCGGTGCCAATCAACTTTGCGTTACTTCCTTTACTTCAGTCGGTCAAAACGTAGTCTTTGGACTTATAGAGTACTTTGCTTCCCATCATGTCCCAAGATGTTCATACACTGCTTGCATCTGCGTGCACACCGCGACATCTCGAGGGAAAGAGCGTGCAGTTTTACGCAGACATCGTCGATCTCGGCCGAAAAGAAAAGGAACCATCGACCCTTTTTTGAGTTGATGAAACCCTTCAGACCCGTTCGAAGGTGGTTCTGAAGCAGAAACACTGGAGATGAAAGAGACCAATGTGTTTCCAATTGATTTCACCCTATCGGCTTCCATCGGGTGGGCGGGCTCAATTGCCCACAGCTTAATGGCCCACCAACGAGTCCACGTCTTTCCCGAAAACACCACACGTGAAAACAGCGCCCGTGTCAAGCTTCCCACCTGTGAGACGACAAACTGCTGGTTGGCGCAGAAGTGATGTTAACTCTCTATCGACCTGGAAGATGCGGAAGAGGAACCCTCCTCTCATCAACTGTGATAGGTTTCTGCAGCTCCTCTTTGAAACCATACAATTGAAAATAAACCAATGGGGGAGGGTTAAAGCCAAAGAGTTCCTCTCATCGACCTGGTCTAGGCCTATGCCAGCGTGGTCCATGTGTTTTCTTTGGTCACCGCAGCTCTCCTGCAGCTCTCCTCTTTGGCTCTCCGTCAGGGAGGTGCTCATCGAGGCTTCCCGAACGGTACCGACTGGAACCGTCGGACCGCACCTCCGGGGGGTGGCACCACCCCGTCGCGAAGCCATGGCGGTCGCGGGACAAACGCGCCTCCTCACCGGATGCATTCTCCACTCGAACCTGTTTGCATTCTCCAAACTTCAGCCGCTGTGTCGAAAGAGGACGAGGGTCGGGTTCCGGAAAAGCCCGAAGATCAGGGTTTAACATCCATTGATTTTCTCTGAGATACATCTTTTCGCTGCTGAATACATCTGAACATACGACTTTCTTCCTTGAACATAGGACTTTTCGTGACCAAGCAATGTAGGCGGCACCATGAGTGCGGCAGGATGTCCTGTTCAGTTGACCCGAGGTGGCGACCCATCCGGCAGCAGCTGTTGGAACAGGTCATTCCACCCGGGTCCGCCCTCCAGCTGCGCCTTCTCCGAGAAACCAGCGACCCCATGAAAAGCCGAGGAGGAGCGAGGTACACGTCGCGCGGACGAAAGCGGCTGCTTTTGCGAATGGATAGAAGCGGATCCGACGAAAAAGACCTCTCCGGATGGGGTCCATCAGTCGATCACTCCCTTCAGAATATGGAGGAACCCAAACGACGCTGCCCGTTCGCGTTCGCGCCACCGCGGCGTGGTGTTCGTTCGCGCCGTCGTTCACGGGCGGGCCGTGAGGCTGAAGATGAGGCTGCCGTAGAAGTCGCCCCCCTCCACCAATGTGGGGTCTTGGAGCCAGACCTGGGAAACAAAGTGCATCGCTACTAGTAACAAGTGCCTTACTAGTAGTAACAAGAAGCTATTAGAATTAAATTGAATTTAATGTAATTCTAATAGCTTTGTTGTTACTACTAGTAAGGCACCTGTTACTACTAGCGTGGCACTTGTTACTAGTAGTAACAAGTTCCTTAGGGACCCCGACCTGGTCGCGAAAAGGGGAGAGACCGACCTTTGGAAAACCCACCGGACTGGGGGGAGCAGCCTCGAAAAACGACGATGACATGGCAATGAGAGGAATGCCTGGAGGAGTTACTAAGTTGGGAAGAACCATGTAAACACCCTGGAAAAAAACCAAGACTTTTGGAAGCGTGGGATTGAAGAGGTGATCCGAAGAGGAATTTGTTTGATTTTGATGGTGCCAAAAATGATTAGTTTTTGGACTTCTAGGGTACATCCATTTACATTGGGGGACTGCTGATCTATTTACCCTCGCACTCGCAGGGCTGCAATGCTACAACCTGCAAAAGGGGCCTCGCCTTTCCATCAGAAAGTGGATGGCTCCAACCTACTTGCGATGGCCTCCAACCTACTAGCAATGGCCTCCAACCTACTAGCAATGGCCTCCAACCTAATAGCGATGGCCTCCAACCTACTTGCGATGGCCTAGCGCTGGCCTGCAACATCTGCCACTTGTTGGTCATCTCCTCTTTGGTAAGGTCCCACATGTTCAGATCACCCCAAGCGTTCAAACCACTATGCTGGTTCCCATTCTTCCAAGTAGTGGTTCCCAGCCCTGGAAATCCACCGTCGCCTCTGCCATTTGCTGATCGTCCTGCAGTTTGAACTCACAGCCCGAAAGGACATGACAGTGATGGACCTTCAAGGACACGGTCTTGCGCCAAAAACACACCCAAAAAGCATCCCCAAACGATCCAAAAGGTGCCTTCAACTGCTGTTGACAACAAGTTCGTGGAAGAAAGTGTGCAAGAAAAAAACATTAAAGAAACAGTGGCTTTTCCCTCTCCCAGGACGGTCCTTCTCAACACTGTACGGGAAACACAACCTTCTTTGGACATCTTTAAAGGAACCACTTCTGTGCCGTCCTTGGCGACTCTCAGCTCTGCCTGTCGCCGTCGAAAGTTGCCGTGTGTCTTCTCCACCAAACAGCGAAAATCATGGTAACGTAGTAGCTTCTTGTTACTAATAGCGATGGCCTCCACCCTAAAAAAGGAAGAACCCAAGACATCCCAAGACCAAACTCTGACATGTTCCGCTTCGACATGTTCCGCTCTGATGCATGTCCCAACTGATCGCTCGAAGAACTTCCCCAAGGCTCAGTCACTACCGCCCACCTTGGCTCGGGCTGGCAGCGGTGAAGGCTCGCTCGACTCCTCCAGGACGCGCACGGGACAGGAGATTCCAAGTGTTCCATCCCATCTTGATTTCTTTCCAACCGGAATGGAGACCAAACCCTTCTGTTTGGTCCAAAACCAACCAAAAACGTCGCTCCGCACGGTGACCTCTTCTCGGTCGGGTCTCCTGTGGGGATCGGGTCTGCCACCTGAGTCCCATGGATCGGGGCAAGACTGGGTTGGAGGTCGGGTTGGAGGTCTGAGTGAACGAGTTCTCACGCTGGTGAAACGCTGGTGAAATGCCGTGAAACGCTGATCTATGTTCATGGCAGACATCGAAAAACGAACGTACAATACCGAACGTCACAGTCGGCGCCGGCGATCTGACTTGTATTGATTGCATGGGGGGTCGCCGGGGTCGCCGTAGCGTAGCCTTCAACGGGGCGTGTGTGAGCCTGCATGATTCTCTGTGTCTGCCAAGCAAGAGAATACTTCTCGATCTTCTCTGCTGAGTGCTCCAAATCCTTCTCCCGGATGATGCTCTGTTCTCTGCTTTCAAAACGGCGTCTCTGTTCTAAATGTCTTCCTGAAACTCCGCGCTAGGGACTCGAAGGAGAAACTGGCGCCCCAAAAGTCTGCAACATCCGGAAAGATTCTACGTTTGCACAGCGACCCCACAGCGGCTTGGGACTCCGACAGGATCTTTGAGGCAATGCGCGGAACAGGACGTTGGCCTTGACCTCGGCTTCGGGTTGCGAGCACAGCCAGCTCATGTTTATTTGGAGTAAGAACCCCATATCTATCAGCTATCGCTATGTGGGGAAAACAGTGATATCCGGATGGGACTTCACCCCTTTTGCCATGCTCTGGTTCACCGATTTCTTCGCCTGTTTCTTTAGGAGGTTCGCTAATTCTTCGAGCCATCTTGGAAGGTTCCTTCCGAGTCAGGACATAATGCCCTTGTTACTAGTAGCTTCTTGCTCCTAGTAGCGATGGCTTCCAACCTACTTGCGATGGCCTCCACCTAATAGCGTCCTTGCTACTAGTAGCTTCTTCTTCCTAGCGGCAAGTCCGGAAACCAAAGTTGAGGACCAGTCTTCTCAGTTGCACACATGCTTTAGTTTCAGGCAATGGGCACCCATTCTTCCCCCTTTGCCATGGAAGTCAACATCCTTAGAAGACCCTTTGTGTATACACCTTAGCGACTAAGTTCCTGACTTCAGGGTGACCAAACAGATCTGGAATCACAAAAAAGAAGTCAAAACTGTTTCAAATCAAAACGCAAAACCAAAACTTGAAACAAACTCAACTTAGACTAAAACCAAACTCAAATTGGACCAAAATGTCCAAGAACAGCTCAACAAATACTCAAGGAGCTGCTCAGGATGTTTGAGTCTGATTTAAGCAAGTTGAGTCTCTCGTTGTGGTTTCAAAGCGGATAGGTTGCTGAGATTCCTTCTTTCCTATACTGATCCCTTGCTGTCAGGGATCACGCGATCACAAGACTTGATATTGAAAATATTTGAAAACCACGATCCATCCAAGACCAGCTGACCTGGGGCAGGCACGGTCTCCGCAAATGGCCACCACCAAGTAGGGTCGCGAGCCATTCCTAGCAATCGCATGGGATGAACGTCGACGGCATCTGCGTTCCCGGTCTGACAGGGCTCGGTCCCCGACGAAGACATCGACGGAGTTCGGCCTCGGGACGTGCGGACGTGTCGCATCCGAACGGGTAGGTTGGAGTCGCGATGCCGCCCCTAGTAGCTTCGTGTTCTATAGGTTGGAGGCCGCTATTAGGTTGAAGGCCGCTATTAGAAGCAAAGAAAAAAGAAAAGGAAGAAAGGTCTCAAAGCTTTCCAGGAAGTAGAACAGTGAAAGGCCCCTGGAAGAGCATTTTCCTCTACAAGGGTGTCCTGGTCAGCTTCCATGCTTGTTGGAGGGAGAGAGTCGCCCTTTTTTTTGATCCTGGGATCTGATTCCACGTTTGTAGCACCCGGAAAGCTGGACGGCATGCTGCTCTGAACACAGTCTCATCAAGTCTCAGAGCAGCACGTAGGGACGCTTCCACATCACAAAGGACATCGCCATGCAAAGTCTCGCTGAGAACCTGCGAATGAAGAGTAAGATCGGCAGTTCAAGAAACACGTATGCCGTATGCCGCATGATGCCGCATGCCTGTATCAAGATCGCCAAAATGGGGAACTCCAAAAATAAAGAGACAAGGGGATGTTGCACATGAACAGCAAGGCTCTGGGCCTCCGCGGGCATCCAGGAAATGTTCTGCAAGTCATCTCGCAAAGCTTTGCTGCGGCCTGGCGCATTGAGCAGTGCTGGGCTCAGGTAGCAGAGATGTCAATGAAAGGAACATCCTTTCCTGATCACCGACCAAACGCAACATCGACCAATCAAGACAAACACCAAGAATCCTTCACCGCCACTGTGAAGGTAGATCTGTTCTTTTGGGTTGATGTTTGTCCACGTTCCAGCATTTTCAGACCTTCCAGTCCCCAAACGGACTGCCACACACAAGCGGAAGATGCAGGAGTTAAGGGGGACACACCGCTTTCTCAAAAAGCCTATGGTAGAGAGAAGTTGAAGAGAAGGAAAAAAGAGAAAGAGAGAGAGAGAGAGTGAGTGAGTGAGTGAGTGAGTGAGTGAGTGAGTGAGTGAGTGAGGTGAGTGAGTGAGGTGAGTGAGTGAGGTGAGTGAGTGAGGTGAGTGAGTGAGGTGAGTGAGTGAGGTGAGTGAGTGAGGTGAGTGAGTGAGGTGAGTGAGTGAGGTGAGGGAGTGAGGTGAGTGAGTGAGGTGAGTGAGTGAGGTGAGTGAGTGAGGTGAGTGAGTGAGGTGAGTGAGTGAGGTGAGTGAGTGAGGTGAGTG